ATGCATCTATTGTATAATTTTTTGTGATAGAAAATTATGCATCTACACAAAATGGCTCTGCAATATTTAATGTTTCTATTTGATTCTTATTGATATTATATTTAACTAAATATCTAACAAGTTCTTACAAATTTGAGACCCTCAATACTTCTTTTTTTACAATGCAAAACTAATGTGCAAACAATAAAATCAACAGTATGGTCAATTTTGTGATAAATTTTGCATATTTTCAGCTTGTTTGTTAATTCTCAAATACCTACATTATTGTAGAACACATCACATGTTACATATTAAATCAGTATTATATTTTTATTATACTTGCAAGTACATATGTGTATAAAACATCACAATTTGTCTTCTTATTGGTTTTTTTCCATTAATGGTTCTTAAAGAATGAAAGAGTAAGGATGGCCTTGATAACAAGCATCTTAGAACAAAAAATTTGGAAATATTGGAGACCTTTCAATAGATTTGCAAACATGTTATATATCAAGTCATAGAATAGTATCCTTAAAACAAACAACTAAAAACATTTAATGATAGAATTTGAATAGAAAAGTGAAGTGCAACACTTAAATTACTTTTTTCTTTTCTTTCCTTTTCTTTTGTAGTATTTTTTTTATAACATGACTTTTGAACCTCAAAGTGGTGATATATATAGAGTATGTTGTGAAGAAAGATATCTGATTTCTAAGGTAGGTGTCTACTAGAGATTAAAAAAAATTATTGGTGTTTGCAAGTTCTACAATATAAGAAAACATGTGTATTAGTAGGCAACTTGCTTTTGTTCCATAGTCCATGAAAATTTAGCCCCATATGGCAGCACTTGATTATTACAAATATTAAATAGGGTTTTAAAAATACACAACAAGGACTTGCTTAGAAAAAACACAAAGAGTGAGGTTTGTCCTTCATGGCCTTATTTTTAATGTGATTTCCAAATCACACTTTAAAGCAAAGGTTCATTAAAAGATCCAACACTCATGCAAGTTTTGATTTTTTTTTTAATTATTATCTAGAAGACTAAACAGTTTCTTTTTCAAAAAGAAGTCATCATCATGCTTGCTATTGGAACCTATTTTGTGATTTGGTTTAAAGCAAAACCTATGCATCAAGTTCTACTATGACTCATATAATATATACAATTTTGTTTATCTGTGAATTCCACCAATATATTTTAATTTATAAAATCATTAAAGATAAAAATTTTAAGCTCTTAACATATTAAAATATTAATATTAAAGATTCTATTTGATTGTTTAAGAAAAAAATTAAGATTTAGAAGGTTCTTTAAGATACAAAAGTCATGTTAGAAAACAATCATAAGAATAGAGACTTATGAAGTCTTTGAGGCAATTATCTTTGTTGATTTGATATTTCTTATCAATTGTAATAATAAGTATTTATTTATTAAAACCAATGCCTAATTTGGCCTTTTGTTCATATGAATAATTTATTAGAATCTCATTGATACTAATTAGTAGGTAAAAAAAAACTAAGAAAGAATCTTATGGCTCTTAAATGATTTATGAAGTAAATAGGATTTTTTAGTTGATTTGAATTGATTCTATTGTTATGTTAAATCAAAAAATTAGAATGAAGAGGTATTACTTTATTTTAGAATCTCAAAAATATTTTAAATCTTTTCGATTTTTTAAAGATTTTTTTGAAGTTTTTGAATTATATTTTAAAAATTTTGATAAAAACTAATTTTTCATTTTGGAAGACCATTATGAAGAATTAGAGAAAAAAAATTAAAGTTCCTCAAGATCTCTATGCTGATTGGATGTTTTTGAATACCAAAAAGAAGTTGAAAATGCCAAAAAAAAATAAGATAATAAAAATAAAAATAATGATTGTTGAAATTATAGTGACCAATAGCCTATAAGAATGGAGGTGTATATGTCTCATATGGGTTGTAGTACCCTAAATGTATGTATGAGAATAAGTCTAAGGCCTTGGAGCCTCTCTAGGACACCCAATAAACTACTTTTTGAGTGTTGGCAAAGCTCAAATCCTTGACTTTTTAAGCAAGTTATCCCTCAAGTAAAATCTATGTACATAATTTTTCTATTTTTTCTTTCCATCTTTAAACTTTTCTAACATACTCATAGTATTTTCAATTTACATGTTATTTACTTTATTAGAAAGATAAAATAATTATAGATACAAAAATTTAAATTTGATTTTATCTTTTAATTTTTATCAAGTAAAAATCTGATGAAAATATTGTGACAAGTTTTTAAAGTGTATTTAATTTATTGTATTTTTTACTTTTGTGACATTCTACAAGAAGATCCGTTCCAACAAAAAACAATGTTAAATATAAAAACTTTAAAAAAAATATATTTGTATAAAGATTCAAGTCGAATTTCACACATGATTCTACATAAAGTATTAGCTATTTTTTTGCAAACTTTTTGAAGTTATATAAATTACAGTAATTATTTTTCTACAAATAAGTATTTTTTAAAAATCTTCTTTACAATATATATATATATATATATATATATTAAACCAAAAATAACATAATAAGTCAATATTCATACTTAAAATATTTTCAAATTAAAAAAAATTATACACATAATTTCAAAAAACAACCAAGGAAATCTTATATTATTCCATATAGTAGTAGTATAAAGTAAATAAATAAATAAAAATTTAAGCAAAAATACTTTATTCTAAAATCTTTCTTATATTTAAATTTTTTATTAAAAAATTATTAAAAATTCTAATTAATCTACAAAAAATATAAACAAAATTTAATCAACTAATCATATTTTATGTAGTTAATATATATTTAGTTACTTAATTTTTTAAAATTAATTACCAAAATATTTAAAAGTAATAAAATAATGTATATTCAAAAAATATATTTTTTATTATTATTTTTTAAATATAAAGTCTTTAAAATACTCTAAAATACTTTATGTTTTATGAATATTGTAACTACTTTACTTTCATTAATTGTCAAAATAATTTTCACGACCCATAAAGTAATACTTATGATATTAATATTTGTTTATAATTTTTCACAGTTTTAAAATGGTGGAATGGTTTTGCTTACATACAAATAATTTGAGTTTAGATTTTTAAAGTATATACTAAAAATATAAATTTTTTTAATCAAATAAAAGAAATAACTAGAAGTTTAAGTTATTGATGATGAATCTATTATAGTTGGAAATAATAAAATATTAGGATTTCTAAACAGGTATATTAATTAATATAGTATCAATAAAAACAGATCTAAGATTTTAAATGGGATTAAAGACATAGCTTTTATGAATCAATCTGTTGGTTTCTTGATATAAATTAACACAATAAGTAAAACGATGGTTGCTAAAATTAAGAGTATCAATTAATTATTAATTTTATGCAATATGATATAGAGAGACCATGTAAAAATGAAATTGATTGATTTTTCATGAAAGCATCATTAAACATTACAACACAATAGTTTGTAATGACTATTGCTTTTGGGTATACATACATACATCTGAATAATATTTTTATGTTTTATTTTTTTATTTTTTTAAATATGTTAGAGTTACAAGAATATTGATAATATTAAATAAATATTACGTTCATTTAGAAATTTCTTAACATTTTTATAGACTTCTTGACAAATAAATTTATAGATATAAAATTAAAACTAATTCAAAAGATTGAATTTTGCTTTTATTCTATTCTATATGTTAAATCTAAATTTATTTTGACCAAATTTTCAATCAAATGATTACTTGAATTCGCTCTTAAAGACATTTTTTAATAGAGTAATTTCAAATCAATAATTTGGTTGAATTAAATATATATAATTAGTTTTAAAATATTTACTATAAGTGTAATATTGGATGTCTATCTATTTATATATTTATTTAAATATTTGCAGTAGTAATGTATTAAAATCATAAAAAATTAGGTGTAAAATCGAATAAATTAATAATTAATAATTGAAACTTTAAAGATTTATGGTGTGTTGATTACAAAACACCCAAAATAGTCACATACTTATATTCACCCATAAATATATCATCCAATCCTTCTATTTTTTATGATAACACTGTTAGTGTTTGAAGTCTTTTATTATATCAGGTTCCATTTATTTATTTATTTATTTTTCTTCCTAATACACTTAATACTGTTATAGTTGAGTTGTGGACCACAAAATTCATACACAAATGGCAATTGGGTCATGGCTTACTATGATAGAGATAGCTTTTCAACCCAGCCACACATACATACTTGCAAGTAGACTTTTCCTTGCCTCACAAGCTGAATAGACCATGGCCACAAGCTCCTCGTGTCCACAACAGACCCATGAGAAAAGACCTTGGGCATAATAGTGTTTTTAACTTCCATCACAAGTAATTGACAACCATGTCCATAGCCAACCATGTGACACTGTCAAACCCTAAAAAGGGGAACTCCCCTTAGGCTGTGGACTCATCTGCAGGCACTAGCAACTTTCTAAATAATCAATTCGGAAAAGAAAGAAATAAAAATAATGAGGGTTGTCATTGTGGAATTGACAATCACTGTGCTCTGCATTCAAAGAGACTTACTACTGTTTGATGAACTGGGTCAAGCATGGGATATTGAAGAGTCGATCTGCTGCATTAAGAATAGAAAGTCAGATGCACACATTTTTACAAACACACTACAGCTTTGTCAGATTGTCAGTCTCTGTCGGGTTGTGTCAGAAACGCTCAGCTTTTTGTCGGAATGCTCGTAATGAAAAGAAGAAGAGAAAAACTAGCATTATAGAGGTTATGGGCACTGTTGTGAAATTATAATCCGTTATTTCGCGGGATTGTACCTAGATTCGGGAATACTCACACGTTTCACAGTGTAAACGTCGATCCCAAGCATAAGAGTTGAGTCTTCCAACGAACACAGCTAGAGACATTGCTTGCAAATAGACTTTCGAAGTACTCAATCACGACAGAGAACGGCAAAGAATATATATAGATATAGATAATACAAGTACGTCCTTCTGCTTGAAGAAAAGAGTGAAATAGTAGACGAAAGTTTAAATAGGAAGAAAAGTACATGATATTACAAGATCACATCTCTGTACAAACTCAAGGCCGTGGAAAAAATCGGGCCGAAAATCCTCTCAAACCATCAGATCTCTGTCAATGCTCGAGCTACTTCGCAAAATCCAGACTTCGGATGTGCTCTATGCACTCTAGCTGATGGTGGCCGGTGCTGCACATTTTGCACTTAGTGCCTCACTGCCGCAACATGAAGTAGTGTCTTGATTGTTTTAGGTCTACTCTTCTTGTGTACAGCGTAGGGACTGACACACTCAACGTAGATCACTCGCCATCCGATCTACCATGGGTGTCGGAAGAGCTATGCCTACACTAGAAGGTCGACAGACCTGAATAAACCAATTTTTTAAATATTTTCAAACAAGGAAGTCAAAGGGGGGAAGAAAAAACCAATCCAACGATTGATTGTCATAAAAACCACCTCTAATGCAACGTCGTCTTTGTTTGCTTGGTCCGCATGGCAGGCACATACGGGTCAGAAATCTATCCGCGATATTGTTGAAATGTCAACAGGTTATCACCAAAAAATTGACTCTCGCATAAATTACAGTCTGGTTTCTTTACTCTGATATTTGTACATCGGTTTAGACAACACTCGATCACACAAGGGCCGGAGATCACTTATGCAAGGGCTGATACTTCAGATCCGAAGGCACCAAACCCTTCAATCCGTACAGTTGGTTTGGCGCTATAGGAGGAAGGTCCACACGAGTTCATCTGCATTGACAAGTTAGAAGTTGGCCTCTGATGCAGAAACGCTGCATCATGAATTAGGGGATTGCCTGCACGGCTGGGGGGAGAGCCACAAAAAGTAGGGGGAGAAGAACTGAAGCCGGAAATGTCTCTGTAGCCTCCCTTGCTGACAAATATGTCGAGCAGCTCAAAGCAAACCACTCCTTCAGGACAAGCTGAAGATTTACTGCATGATCGGAAAAGATGTAGAGAATCAGTTAAGCTGAAACCAGCAAACAAAGAAGTAGAAAGAATAAGACTTGTTAACAAAAATGGAAAAGAAAGAGCGGGAGAGGGGGGGTGGGGGGGGGGATAGCGGAGAGAGATAAAGATGGAGACAGAGTTCAGCATGACTTCAATAGAAGTTAAAGAGAACAATACCTCTTGTGCCGCCGAGAGGGCTTCACTGAATCGTATACAGGACAACTCGCATTAGCTGGCCGTCGTGGTCTAGGACAAAGAACCTCTTCTTCTCCTGATTCCACTAGTAGACCTGACCGAGATCTCCTCTTCTCGTTCTTTTCTGTCCTGCTATCCATAGGGCTCCAAACCCTTTGCATGTGCTGGACAGTACTGATTTTCCTTGTGAAATCCATCTTCCGTCAGGCCTTCGACGATACCACGATAGGGAACTTTAACAGCTTACAAAGAAACGTCTACTTTCACACGATACGCCGGCGTAACCTCACTTGATAATTTTACTTGCCGAATGAAGGTCAAAATTTGAGCTCAAAATGTATATAGCCGAAAATATTTACAAAAAGAAAATCTGTTGCATATGAACAACCACGACTCCGATTAGTTTTAAAGTAAAAGCAAAAACTGATGATTAATTCCCAAGAGTTCCAAATAAATAAAATCCAGAGGACACTGCAGGGAAGCAAGCTTCGAGCAGGAACCACCAGAGTCACTGTAAACAAGGATACTCTAAAGACATCTGGGACGATCACAGTAACAACCACCATACGAGGTGTTACATGAAAGAAGCATATATTCAAGAAAACAGTAGGGATCAACAAAACCACAGGCTTAACAAGGGAGAGACAAAAAAAAAAAAACGTTCGTCCACCAAGCTTCATGTCTACACCTATTTCTTGCAATCAGTCTTCACCTCGGCAACAGAATACAAAAAACTCCACAACGAAGCACAATTTCTCACACTCTCTAATCCTCCGGTGAAGACGGACACCTCTCAGTACTGCACCTCAATCACACTCCACGAACATCCTATCCTCGTGATGAACCGAGATCTCTGACATACAAGTCAGAAGAACCTTACCCCATGGTTGCTCTAAGCAACCACTCCCTGAAGTGAGATAAAACTAAAAAAACAAATCACATGTACAGTCAACGGGACGCACAACTCGCGACACCCGTAAACTAAGCAGTATCAACGAGCTCGTGTCACCCGCGTGGTGCACACAATCACGTGCTAAAACATGTCCAAGGATTCACAGAGTCTTCCCAGTAACACGCATACTCCCTCTTAAAAACTACTCTGTCCTGGAATAGTAGACTGCCTCAAAAATTCATCACAACTCCTCGCCTGTTCCCAGAAGCAGAAGGGACAAACCAAACCAAACCAAACCAAACCACCTAGATGATAGATAGATAACCTCACACCCTCGCATCCAACAAGGACCACTCCGGGATTTCCAAACACACAGTCAGGGCCCCTACCTTGCCGCAAACACACATCAGACGCATAACGGACTCCGAATCCTCTGTCCTCTTCTTCACAGGGCGAACGGCACATCCGACATGGCCGAACCGAGAAGCCACCTGAAGTTTCAAAACGAAGCCCTCAGTTCGAAAACCAAAGCTCCTCCAACTTCAACACACTCAAGCTCGCTGCCTCCTCTTCCGCCTCCTCCCCTTCCGCCTCCTCCCCCTCCTCTTCCGCCGCCTCCCCTTCTCTTCCGCAACAACAACAACAACAACAACAACTCGATCTCTACCTATTCCCTGCAAGATCAAGTCTTCTTAGCATCGCCTGGTTCCAGATAAACGTGTGGCGCAGATTCGCAACAAAACCAGAATGTAACCGGCTGTAAAAAAGAGGATGGCACTGGGCAATGTATGTAGCTGTTCTGAGACTACTCTCCCTTTTCTGTGCCTCGATTAGTCCCCCTACCATCAATCAAATCTGGCAGAAGAGAGAAAAAGTGAGTGTTGACAGCCCCACCTGCTCAGTGATCGTCTTCTTCTGCTGCTGCTCACCGTATCGGACTTTCTCCCCTCACCCCCGCCTGCTGTTGTACTTTTGCCGACGGGCTGCCCGAGGTAGTCCCAATCCGCCGGAGAGACCGCACACTGCGTTTAGACTGACTGGCCAGGAAATATCTGGCCACGGGCAGCGGGCAGCTCGCGGTTGCCGCACCGTCCAGTGGCGTGGTGGGTCCGTTCAAGACGTCGTTTGTTTCTGCTGCGCGCCTCGTCAGCGTGGACGGGCCCTCCGTTCATTTGATGGATAGATGAATGTTCCGTCTTTAGACGAATGTCGTACATTGGTTTTTTGTTCCTTGGGTGCCTGGAATTAAATCAATTCCACAAGAATGAACACCTTGAAGGATACTACACTGTACTTCGCTGTGAATTTATTTTTTTCATTTTTTTCATTTTTTTTGTACTTGTGTGTCTCTGTGAATGTTCATCTAACCTTTCATGGAAACCAGGTATGGAAATATCAAGTGTCCATATACTGGCATAGTATGATTCTTTCTCCTGTAAGTTTTACATCCACTTTTCTATGTGAACTTGTTGAGTGGAAATAGTAGCCTGTTTTGAATCTACTCACTCGCCCACTCACTCACCTCCAGCTTTGAAATGTTGTGAATAGAGATCCCAACAAAAGGGAATGACTGCTGCCATGGAGAATGCTTTTCAAATCTCACTCTGTACATGTTCCCCAGCTATTCCAAGCCCAACACACAATTATGTACTTACATACATAAATATATATTTTTATGAAAGTGTGTCTCTTAACCATGCTGCATCCTTCAGCTATACAATCAGACTGATCTACAAAAGTGAATGAAATATAAGCAGGCAGAGAAAAAAAACTAAACAAAACAAAAAATACCACTTCCTACTTATGACAACTTCTAAAATGGTACCCATGTTGACACATTTCATGTCTATTTTGAATTGGAGACTGAGATTTGGTGATGGAATTAAGCATATACAGTAAGTGCAGTATCATGCTTTGCTATATCAAACCTGTTGCTGTGCAACATTTTGCACATGGAATGGATGTGAGGAACATGGCAAGCACAAAGAATACATCCATCTGCTCCTTATTTTGTGTTTTGTATTTTTACAAATATGATATTGTTAGAGAACAGGGGAATTCATGAAATTGAGTAGGGTGCAATGGATGGATGGAAGGATTACTTTGTGGATGTTGTGGTGCATGGAAAAGGACATAGAAAAATGTGTGATGAAAACCATGAAGAAAATGGACCCCATCCCCCCCCCTCCCCCAAAAAGGAGCTTTCATCAAGTCAAACTTTTTTTTTGTGTTGTGTGTGTGGATGGTCATAGAATTCCAGCCACTTTGTACAAAACCCTTCTATATGTCCTCTTTTGGAGCCATTCAGAGAACCCCACATCAAACTTGACATTGCTGACACCCCTAAAATAACCCCATAATGTTTGTGGCAGAGTGTGAGAACACACACAATTTTTCTGGTTGGAAAATGCATGCTCTCTCAGTGTTGACAAATTGGCAGTGCCCCGTGTTTTCGCTGTTGAAGAAATGCTTTGGTTCTCAGGTGATTTGCTGGATGGGTTCCACCACAGAATGCCAGACTGTGTGAATCAATAAGAGTGGAATTCTAGTGCATATTTAGGTGCATAGGTTAACACATGTGAAGTTACAAAGTTTGGCAATGGGCTAAAGTGTGTTTGTTGCATGTTACTATTCCCTGAGCAAAGTCAATGCCCATAATCTCCCATTATATATATATATATATATATATATACAGGACTGCAAGTGGTTAGTGCTTTGTTTTTTAGTAATTTGCTGGATACAATTGGCCAATATGATGACATGGCACAATATTCCATCTCTCTATTTTTTGAATCTATTTCACAAGGAAAAGTTGCACCTGCCATAATCATAATAATCATAATAACAAGAATGGGATATTCTACTATAGCACAAGTACATTTGAATCCTCCCAGGATCAAAGTAAACAAGAAGCTAAGGTGGGAAGTTTTTCAGTGGTTGGTTATTGCAGGTTTTCTCTGTGGTTTTTAATTGAATCACAACAAATCAAAGATTTTGATTGCATTCACAAAATAATTTTTGGTTTTGTACAATTTAAATTTACGGATTCTGAGTTTCTGAATCCCATTTTAGAATTCAATTTGCAAAAAGATTTTACACTTTTGTTCTTTTTGATGAGCTTGGTGGTGAAAATGATCATTTAGTGATATTGAAATTTTGGCAAGGATATGGCACACATGTTGTAGTTGCTTGGAGTTACAAGTATAAAGACCTCTGGTTTGAAGCAATAGGAAAGGGGAATTGAGCATTTGAATAATTTCATTTATACACTTGTTGTATTTTGTTTGGGTGGGTAAGCCTAAATCTTTGTTGAGTATGTGTTCACTTACCAATTTGTTTGAGTGAGTAAACATATATTTATTTATAGACACATACATATGCACATTCAACTGTAGTTAAAATTAAACTGTGATTATTAGAGTTTGTGTGCATGCACCAAAATTGAAGTGCTTATGATTGAATCCGTTTCAATTTTTTCTAAATAATTTTAAAATTAAATGATTGTTTAAGTTGCTTGAATAATAGTGAAAGGAAAAAATCTGTAATTGTGAGGGACAATGAACCCCTACGATGAGTACCCAATGACTTGGATGAACAACTTTACCAAGCCTTGTGTTCTTCTGTTGCATCTACAATAGTGTGAATTAAAAAGTATAGAACCACATTTTGAAACATGGTTTGTAAGAATAGATCTAATGGCACTAATTGATTTCTATGGTGTGATTTTTAAAATGATAGAGCCTCCAAGCACATTACAAATACTGCACAAAAGAATAAAAGTTTTACTTTTTCTCACTACATTAGTCTGGCTTGATAATACAAGAATCAAAAGCATTTTAGTATAGCTTTTCTATTTAAGTATAATTGTATATGTATAGATTTAAAACCAAAATTATATGAATCAACATCAAAAGTTGTGAATGAAACCTATTCATTGTCACTATTTTCACAAATCTACTGCTTTTGTAAATCAAATAGGTTTGAACTTAATTGACCTACTTGTTCATACACACACATAAAAAAAAGAAAAAAAGAAAAACAAAAAAAACAAAAAAAAAACAAACAAACAAACAAAAAACAAAAAACAAAAAAAAAAACAAAAAAAAACAAAAAAACAAAAAACAAAAAAAAGTCTTGCATCACCAAAGCATTTACTCAGTAAATATAGTGTTCAATAGTATTTGAAAAATTGGTGTTGATAGTTGTGGGAACAAAAACAAAGGAAAGTTCTTGCTTTCTAATCATGCATTGAAGTTGTTTGATACTTTTTTCTTTTTTTTGTCTTTCCAAATTGTATTGGTTTGAACATCAAGAGCTATTCCATTTTTGAAAATGTGCATATATATATATATATATATATACGAAAAATAATACATACATACATACATGGATGAAGGAAGCTTTAGGCAGCTGCCCGGGCAGGCACCAAAAGTTTGCAGTGGTAAAACCAAACCCCCTCCCCTTTCCAGCCCCTCCCCCCCCCCCACACACACTTTAACCTGCCCGTATGAAAAAAGCAAAAAAGAAAAAAGGAAAAGGCAGCAATGCATAGAGCAGCAAAGGCAAGCAACCCCTTCACTTCCATGTGACATTCAATGTGTGACCTCCATGGACAGATAAGCCCATGGCCCAATCCCACTCTGCACTCCAAAACACCAAACAAGAATAAAAATAAATAACTCAACAATTTCTGGCTTCAATAATCTGAACTAGCAAATGAAACAAGTGGATCAACTCACACTCTGAAGCCTTCCATTCATCTCTAGCAGCTTTGAGGCACCACAGTTGAGTTTTGCACATACTTCCTTCAAAGAATACAAACTTGTAAACGTGGCTTGATGACAATGTGGGCATTGTCATCATCCGTTTGCAGACACACATGAGTCTGGGTAAAAGGAAGTTGCATATCAAGTTTCTACTGTGTAACCAATTATCGTGAGGATGTACAGTCAAACCCTCTGCCTAGGATATGCCTCAGAAGTGCCATTTTCATAACTAATAGAGATGTTTGATTATTAATCTTTTAAGAGGTTATGGTCATCTGCACACAACTTATAAAAACGTAACTGTTTTGATTGCAGTTATATTTTGGTGCCCACATCTGCTGAAATATAACTGCAGTTGGTAATTCTTTTTGCAGATTTGGATTCACAATGGTCTAGTTAATTTTGGTAATGTATACCCACAAGAAAATTTACGCTGTCGTGTTGTAACACGAGTATACAGTGAAAATAAAAAGAAAGGGGAATTTTATTAATATTCAGTTACCTCGAATATTGGGAGCATCGACCAACTCCAGTACAAATACTGAGTGGTCAGGTTCAGTGACTCCGTTACAGTCAGCCGGGGCATACTGAAATGCCCCGTTCGATTCCAATAACGGGAGTCAGTAGGAAGAAAAGGACCAATTCACACGACGGGTTCGAGGAGCCAATTGGATCCAATTTTGATAATCCAATCCGGGTCCTCTTACCCAATATGAGACTTGTATTGGTGGGACAACCCAATGCAGTCTAGTTACGGGAAATCCAGGTCTTACTACGGGTCTTAGCCAATCTGACGCGAGGACCAATTTGACCCAATTACGGGAACATCCAGGTTACTACGGGCATCTTTACCAATATAGGACCTGAAATGGTCGGGCGACTCAATGTGGTCCCGATTACGGGATTCGATTCTGTTTCAGGCTGTCCTGTTCTCTGTGCCGTTTCAGGGAACGTTGTTTTTGGTAAATGGATTTCTTAAAGGTAAAAACGGAGGAGAAAGCTTGGCGGCGAGAGCCAATTTCGAATCCAAGTTGAGGTGAGAGCCAATTTCGGATCCAAGCTTGAGGTGGGAGCCAATTCCGGATCTAAGACGGAAGATTGAAGAAATTCAGAGGATAAGGTTAGGAGGGATATAGT